ATGTCACGCTTTCAAGACATGAAAAACGCAATTTTAATTTCATCAATCGGCCCAGCAGAACAAGAGATACAGAACTGCCCCCCTTTTTTTGTGCAGTGTACAATTCTATTATTTTTTTATTGTAAAACAAAAACAAAAAAAAAAAAAAAAAAAGTTACAAATTTTGGACATTAATCACCAAAAGAGGGGTTTTCTTCTTTCCCTTGTTTGTTTAGAATCAAACATACAAATAATATGCCACTAAAATTGCTGTATGATTGTTAAATTATATATTAATATTGTTAAAATTATATATATATATATATATATATATAAATTTTATTTCTATTTCTATAAACATTGTATTAAAACACCCAGGACTAGTTAAATAAACTAGTTTTAAAATACAATTTGGCATTTTGAAAGATGAACTGCATACAAATTTTTGGCTCAATCAAGTGAATAGTTTTTAATTTATAGAGAACAAATAACTTTTAAAAACGTACTTTAACCCTGTTGTACAAGAAATCACTGATCAGTGTATATCATTAAAACTGGTTTAACAGTTCCCCATATAATTGCGTTTAAACATATATAAAAAGAAAACGCAATTGAAAAAAATCATTGACTTAAGACTATTAAAGGTGCAGGTACAACAAACAGTACTAACCTACCTCTAAAAAAAGGATTTTTTACATCCACTACAATGTGACACAATTTACCATTGTAATTAATATCAAATTTACAACTGTGAATGTTATATAACTAAATAGACATTATTGCATAAATAAGGCACTGTTTTAAATCTAACTCTCTTTGATTAAGGGGTAAAAAAAAAAAGAAATGCAGTACTCTTCTGTTATCGGAACCAGATTTAGAAATGTATGTATGTATATGCGTATACACATACACACCTACATTTCTGAATCACCTCGATAACAGAAAAGTAAAAAAAAAAAAGCATATTAAATCCTGTCAGGGCAGGTGTGCATTTCTCACTTTGCAACATGCGATCACATATACAAATTCCCATTATTATAAACAGAAGCTTGTCTAGTCTTGTCTGCTGCACATTTCAAAACATGGAATGGCCAGAAGAGTGTCAATTTCTCTTGTACTTAAATTTAATATACTATTGTTTTATTCTCTAGATTTAGGCTATCAGAACATATTTTTTGAGTTTTTTTGTTATATTATTGTTGTTGTTGCTGTAGTCCCTAATGTTAGTTTTGCTGCCATAGGAAACTGCCTACCCCCTACGGCCAGCCGAACAATGCCCATTTTGGGCTATTCTCCAATTTTTTTTTTTTTTTTTTATGAAAACAGACTGCTTGTTATGGAAGCAGAACAGTGGGGGGGGGAAAGAAGTAGGCAAGTACTGCGCTGGGGGGGGGAAATCTGATATGGGTTTGCGTTATAACCCATATCAGATTCTATATATTTATTTTATAGAATGCTCCAGAATAAGGTTTTTGTTTTTAGTCCAAAGGGGCTTTGTCCCTGAAGGACTATTGTTTTCGTTTAGAGATTTTGCGTTGAATAACTCTGAATGTCTGTTTCACTTTTCCAACTGTTGCCACCGAATATTATCACCATCTATTATATTTGAAGAAATTAAATAATGAAGAATCTGCATAAATGAATATGTGTGTGTGTGATTCTGGCAAAACCTCGAGGGCTATCTGCCTAAGGTAAGGGATGCCTTCGTGGAGGACTTTCTAAGGGAAACTGGCTCACATACATGTTACACATGGGGAAAACCACGAAAACACTCATGCAGCCAGCCTGTTCGCGGAATTTGAACCTTCGACCGAACTACCAGTGTTCAGCTGATATGGGTTTGTTTTATAACTTTAGAATGCTTCAGAGTAAGGTTTTTTGAGGGACTATTGTTTTCATTTAGAGATTTTGCATTGAATCACTCTGAATGTCTGTATCACTTTCCCAACTGTTGCCACCAAATATTATCGGCCTCTATTATATTTGAAAAAATTAAATAATGAAGAATCTGCATAAATGAGTGCATGTGTGTGTGATTATGACAAAACCTCGAAGGCTATCTGCCTACGGGAAGGGATGCCTTCGTGGATGACTTTCTAAGGGAAACTGGCTTGTAAACACGTTACACATGGAGAAAACCACGAAAACGCCCATGCAGCCAGCCCGTTTGCGGGATTCGAACCTCGGACCAAACTACCAGTGTTTAGCAACTTTACCGTTCGTAGCCCTGCATATATGAATAAAGTTTCTCGCACTGTCATAAAACAACAGTATTTAAAGCCATCCAATTTTTAAATGACATAATCCTACTGCGAATATGGGCATCTGGAAGACCAAATTTGAAATCTGTTTTATTATCGATTTCATATTTTGTAAAATTTAACAAATTTTTGATTAGCAAACTCAAGGATTTCAAAGCGAGCAATGGCAACATTGTACAGAAAAAGCATTTTTATCTGCGTGAAACTGTGTATCAGAAATTCTAAAGATATGCTCAGTTTAAAACTATTTTGCAATATTGCTCTTGAACTGAGGTTTATGGTTTAAGTGCCAAGAACATGATATTTAATAAATAAAGATAACAGATAAAATGTTAAGAAAACGCCCCTTTGGACGTAATTTAAAATCTGAAACCTTTCAGTAATTATTTTAGTTATTTGGTAAGAATTTCTCTTCTGTGCAGTATTTTGTTCTCCATGTTATGGTTTCCTGAACCTATAAACTGAATGTTTACATTTTGAAAAGTTGAACGAATTTCAGGTTGGGAGATTTTTAGTATTTAACTATATATTCAACATTTATTTCCAAAGTTGGCAACAAGTTCAGAATTTTTTGGTGGCATTGTGAATAGTCAATAAATACCAAATAAACTCAAAACTCTGAGATCTTGACTATTTTCCTAAATGTGCTAATTTAAAAAGAAAACATTTTTATAATGACAAAAATGCTATTGTTAAAATAAAAATTTAATAAACCAAGTCTAATTGGATCAAATTTAATAAATTTTTGAAGTTCTGATAAATGTCATCATGTGAACATTCATGATGATATTCTTCAAAGATAACTATATGACATATAAGATAGAAAAATCTGAAATTTACACCTGGGTGCCCCTTGTTTCTTGGCGTTTCTTTTTTGACGCCAAGATCGGCACTTGGAAGGCACAATATCAAGATGGCCCATACCCAAAACCAAAATAAGAAGTCAAAGAATTGCATAAACTCTGTGTCCATGTACACATCGATCTGTTTTCACTTAAAAAAATATCGTAGAATTGCACAAACTAGGCATTGCGTACTGCCTTAAATTTGTCCATCAATCTATTTTCATTTAAATAAAATCAGGAGGCTAAAACAAAGTTAAAACTATCATGGTAAACAGAAGTGAGGTTTCATCACCAAAATTTAAAAAAAAATTAGCGCTAATTGAAGGGGCACCCAATTCTACACTAGAGCCTTTACGGTAACTGAATTTTGTTTATAATTTCATTATTTTGAATAAAAGTATGAGACGACAAATCAATAACGTAATTTTATGATTTTTTATTTTATTAAAGCAAACCATTTCACTTAAATAACTGCATGAAAAGTTTAATTGTTTTAATACATAGGAATGAGTAAACATAATAATAATGATTAATCCACTGCTTTAAATGTAAGGAAGAGGGCATATAATGACATACAAAAAATTCATGATATCTTTGAGAAAAGCATGATTCTCCCCCCCCAATCAGAATTGAAGATATATTAAAGATACGAGGGTAAAATGGAGAATCGCCCACTTATTTGTTCGGCACTTTTTACAAGAGTAAGAAGAATCAGATTTTTGTCAATTTTCTTTGACTTTTCCAGTAAAAATAGGATCGATAGTAAAAATAGGTCGATGTGTACATGGATAAAGTCAAGGGATTTCTCAATGCCATTTTTGTGCAATTCTGGAATTTTTTTTAAGTGAAAATAGGTCGATATGTACATGAATACCGAGTATACGCAATTCATAAAAACGTGCCAAACAGTGGGTGATTATGCACTTTCCCCGATACAGATTTTATCATTACACTGTAAATAAATTATAATAAAAATAATGATGTTGTATTTTCGTGAGACTTCATAAATAAACTTATTTTATTTAATGACATTCACTGGCATTTTGCAAGTGAAAGAATCACTGCAATATATAAGTTAACTTCCCTTCCTTCTTTCTCTAACCTTTATATTAAATGTTCTTCGATAAAATTTTTACACACTGACTGATAAAACAGACTAGTTTACAATTTTCTTTCCTTTCACGCAAAAAAATAAATTACGAAATTTTTCCCTCGATTTGCATTATTCAATCATTACGCACATTTTTTATTCAGGCTAAATGTATCAAATATGATTATAACATAAAAAAATTACATTTAGAAAATATTAACAACAGTACAGCAACAAAATATGAGAAGCATGAATAAAAGTACTCAATTACGGGGGGGGGAGGTTAATTAAACTGCTTCGGGTATTTTAGTAGTTATTCAATTTGAATACATTCTGACACTCCTTTAAAATCTTACAGCATCCAAGTAGACAGACAGACAAAGTATGTCTTGTTTTGCACCCGCTAAGTCTTTAACCGCGATGTTTACATTCACATTCAGTTACGGTTAATCGGTTATCTATCTAGACATTTAATACATTTGATTAAAGAAAAGGAACATTCATTCATGAAAGGATATAAAAAATGCATTAAAGAGGAACTATTCCAATAAATGCGAAAAAGCAGTTAATGTAACGTATTAAAAATAATATTATTGCATTAAGTAAATTAATTACTTTCTCTCTTCTGAACTGAGATTATTTAAGTCTTATTGAAGAACAAACAATCCATGCAAATAACATCAGAAAGATAACAACATAAATAACAATGAAATACTTACAATCGTATTTCATTACTTAATAATAAAATACGATTATCTGAGGAGTAAACTGAAAAGAGAGGATCAAGCCGTAGAATCAAAACATACAGCGCCTCTTGCGGCCGATTCCCTAAATATAAACATCGTTTACGTTTTGCTAGTATTTTTAAGATTATGAGTACAGAGTGCAAATTTTAAAGTTGTTTGCTAGTTAAATGTGAAAAATTAAAAACAAAGTAAAATAATTATCAAAATCTTCTTTGTGCCACGTATGTAATGTTTTCTAACGAGCAGTATTCGAGTGGACCATCTCGGAAAGCATTACTTTTACTTGAAGGTGTGTTTACGCTGCGGTAAATAAAAGACTAAAATGGCAGAAGCAGAATTAAGAAATATGATAATGAATTTCAGAGTAAGTGATCTGCAGGTGTTATTAGGTTTCGCTGGGCGAAATAAAACGGGTAAGAAACAAGAACTACAAGGTCGTGCATTAGATCTGGTTAAAATTAAATCCCCTGCTGTCGATATGAAAGTTCGAGAGCTTCATAATCGTCGATATCATCATATGCTTGCAACAAGGAACTATGAACGGCAAGATAGGCCTGCTAACGATCATTCAGTTCCTCACTATGAACCTGTTGTAAACAATAATTATGCTGTGCATTGTAATGCAAGTGTTAGACCTGCTTCTGTCAATCAAGGTCCGAGCTCTAGTTATTCTGCAAATGCAAAGTCTTATTTGCAGCCAATGTCAGCACAGAGTGCTTTGCCTCGTTTTGATGCATATCCAGATGTGAAATTTAAGGATTTACCATTTTATGATGTTTTGTATGTACTTATACGACCAACTAGTTTAGTGAATGAAATACCAGAGCGTTATCAAGAAAACAAATACCACTTCACATTGACACCACAACAGGCTCATGATATTGCTGTGTCAAAAGATGCCAGTGGTGATTATGAGTGTCAAGTGTTATTGCGTTTTTGTTTACTGGAAACTAGCTGTGAACAAGAAGATAATATCCCACCAAGTATATGTATAAAAGTTAATGATAAAACAGTTCAATTACCCAGCCCTATACCAACCAACAGACCTGGTGTAGAGCCAAAAAGGCCAAGCAAGCCTCTAAATATAACTAATCACACCAAAATTTCTCCAACAGTTCGGAACTCTATTTACATTTCATGGGCTTCAACATATGGACGTTCTTATGTGTTTGCATTGTATATTGCTCGACAGCTTACATCAACGATTCTTTTAGAGCGTTTGAAAGCTAATGGTGTGAGAAATCCTGATCATACAACTGCTATGATAAAAGAGAAACTACAGCAGGGCCAAGATGCAGAAATAGCTACAACAAGTTTACGAGGATCTCTGATATGTCCTCTTGGTAAAATAAAGATGGAATTACCTTGTCGTTCTGTCACGTGCACTCATCTTCAGTGTTTTGATGCATTTTTGTATATTCAGATGAATGAAAAGAAGCCAAAATGGATTTGCCCAGTATGCGACAGACCAGCATTATTTAGAACATTAGCTATTGATGGTTTATTTATGGACATAGCATCAAAAGTACCATCGGAATGTACGGAAGTGCAATTCCACGAAGATGGTTCTTGGGCTCCAGTTTTGCCAGTGAAAGAACCAAAAGAAACTAAAAAAACTGTCGTTGAAAGAGGTCCAAAGAAAAGTGCAAATGCCAATAAGATAACAGTTGAAATTGTAGATTTAAGTTCTGATAGTGATTCTGAAGAGGTATGGTCTTTTAATGATTCTAAAACAGAAGAAAAGAACACTCTTAAAACATCTAGTGAATCCTCACCAGTTGCTTTATCTCCACCAGTAGTATTTTTACCAACAGATACTAACGTAACTATAAATTCTACACCAGTTTCTACCTCCTCTTATAATACAACTTGTGTTTCACCAGTTCCAGAAACATTAGCTTTACCAACAAATGGTCAAGCAGAACAGCCAGAACATTTAACTATTTTGCCTGATCTTATTACTTCTGTAGATAATTCAATGCCATCTACTTCCTCAAGTCCTGGTTTGGGGTCTGTTAATTATCCTCATCTGCCATTCATTTCAACAGATGCTACATATTGCCCACCAGTATCTAATGCATTCCAAGAACAGACTGGATTATTAAGTAATAATCAGCATTCTTATTCTAATGGGTTTGACTTTTTTTCTTTATTGCAAATACCTGAAAGTGAACAACAAAAAGAGAAGGATTTTGAACAAAAAGAAAATAGTTCATCACCTGATGTAATATCACTAGACTGATATTTTCTTAAACCAGTTTTCATTCATTAAATTATTAAATCACCTCGTCATGACGGAATATCAACTGTTACTGTATGTTGATAAACAGATAAAAGTTTATTTTTCATTCATTTTTTGTAACTTTTGATGTTGGGTAAGTTTTTTGTAAATTTAAGATTTATATATTAATGGCTTTCCTCATATTTTTCTCTTAAGAATAATCTTGTTTGAAGTATGAGCTCTTTATGTTCATGCAGTTTTAAAATGATGTATCTAATAGAATATAATATTTTTGCACAAAGCATTGAAGATAAATTTTAAATATTATAGCCATAATAAATTTATAATCCTAACCAGTGTTTCCCAACTGATTGTTATAAAATTATTTGCACTGATTGAAGAAGGACGTACATGAAATATTGTGTATTTTCTAATTAAACAGCTGATTGTATCAAATTATCATCACCTGTAAGAATGTTTACCGAATGTTTCATCTGCCTTTTTATGTTTGAAAACTTGCATATTTATAATGAAGGTATTAATTCATTTTAATGTGATTCAAGTTATACAGGCTTTAATATCTGCAAAAAAGTTCAGATTGCATGCTTGATTTTGAATCAAAAAAAGGTAATAGTTTATTATAGCAATGGAGCTCCTCATTGTTTCCTTTGTTGTTTACTAAAAGAAATAGAGTTTCAGCAGTGGTAAAACTGTTAAATTGCAATTTCTTTAAGGATCATTAGATGAAAAATTGGTTTTACATAGTCCCAGTTTTTAATCGCATCTCCCGGTTTTTAGTTTTCCAATAATTTCCCGGTTTTTAGTTTTCCAGATGAAATTTATGAAATTTAAATTGGGCAAATTTCATTCTTCCAATCCTTGAGATTTTCTATATATATATATAAATAAATACAAAAAAAAAGAAATTTCAAAACCTAATTCAATTGTGTGCTGAGTAGCAAGTGGTGGTAATAATGCAAAATAAAATGAAAATTATATGTAAAATTCATCACATGTTCAATTTGGAATTAAACACAAAAAAACCAGAAGCATGATGGCAAACTGGAAGAAAAGGGGCAAAATATGCCAGAACCAAAAATTAAATATGAAATTTACATCTTTCCTTGCATGGTCATCAGGGGCGTTGGTGCAGTGAAAAAAGTAAATAGATAAAACAGCCTGTTTTTGAACTGAGATAGACACAAAGTTTAGTCTTAAAATAACAATAAAAGTAATCTTGTGTCTATCTCAGTCCAACCACTACAAGGTGTTTCTAGTTTATTCATTTTTAATGTAGTCAGTTTAAAATTTGTAGTTTCTTTAAATTCGTTACTTTACACATTTGGCTTGCTGTACAGGTAAATATATTTTTTTCATTTCAAAACTTTTATTACTATTGTGTTACAGATTTTAAGAACTTATTCTTGCATTTTTTATTTATTTTTTTTTTTTTATCAAATTTCCTTTTATTTCGTTTATGTATGGATTCATGTATTATGTATGGATTTATATGTATTAGATTACTTTTGTTTTGTATATTTTTAGAGTCGATCCATTAAAATTGTAAAATTTTTATTTTTTAAGTAAAGTGACCACATTTTCATCGAGACAAAGCGGGACAAATGGAATGAAATCAAAATTGTAATTTAGTTATGAAAGCAGACCAATAATTCAAAAAAATGTATTTTATTGTATACATTCATTTACTTATCTATAAATATACAAAACTATATTTATTATTAACTATTGGTAACTATAAAATATTTGTAAAAAACTATAATTTGAATATTATGTTTTTTAATTAATTAAAAAAATTTATGGTTTTCTTTCACGGTTATATTTTTTATCCGAGTGAATACTTAGCAATAGATTCGGATCATTTATTAAAATGTCGTGAAATTTTTCACATGAATTGGTCAAATTATATTTCATGCTTAATACATATTTTAAAAGTTTTAATGCTCAACTGCATTTTTTCAATTGTCCATATTTTATTGATACTAGAAAAAAACACATTGCTGCATTTGTTCCTGGAAGGGAGAGCGCATGTTCTACAATTTTCAAAATATTTTCATAAGGAATATTATTCAGTTTAAAATTAAGGAATAACTCCGTCTATTTTTTTGTCTGTTTCCACATTTGCAGACAATGAACATTTAATTTTTTTCTTCAGTAACGTATACTTTTAAAAATGACACTTCATTAAAAAGATTATTTTCGCAAATATTATTTTTCAGAAAATGGTTACTAATATAAGATTTTCTACATATTCCCATAAAATCTCCTTTTTTAATGTCACCCAATGAAAATTTTTAATATCCTTGAATTGAACTATCTGTCCTTCAAGCTATTCTAAGCAGTTATTATAAAAATTTCTGACTTCTTTCGGAAAATCAAGTCGTTTAATGGCATCTTGTTCTTCCAACCCAGTGACGTCCTTTCAAATAACTAAAGGAACGTAATCATTATCAATTCTTTCTTGCAGTTTTGTTTTTAAATTATTGATTTCATTTGACACTTCCATAATTGAAAATTTGTCCCCTTCAATAATTTTCACAGCATTGTGAAATAATGTAGCTTGGTTGTGGATGAACTGATGCCAAATTTGTTATGTGTCATTTTCAGTAAAGAGCTGCAATATTCTCGGACATTTATCTTGTGATAAAAAGTATGATTTTAATGGTTCGTATATTTTTTAAATATTTTCTACAGCTGGTAAAAGAGCTAGCTATCATGTTTTGCTGTAACCAATAATTCTTTTATATCCGATTTCTGCGCTTACACAAAAATCCTTCAAACTTTCAATATGCACAGTGTATATATATATAAAAATATGAATAAAATTTCTGCACTAATATTTTCAAGATCCACTGTAAGTAAGTCAGATGCTGTTTGAATAGTACTGTATAGAATGTGCACTACACAAGCTACCCCAATAATTTATTAGTTCAAATGTTTGTTAAGTTTCGTAAAAACATTATTGATGCCTCATCTAGCTTTTCCACCAAAATTTGCATTAGTGTTATCCTCACAATGGGCAATAATTTTATTGTTCAAATTATTATTTTTTAAAAATGTACTTATTGAATCAAAAATTATTTGTGCAATGAAACAAAATCTAATATTCTAATTTTAATTCCTGTTTCTGGATCAATAATAGTTGTGGGAAATAATATTAAATCTTTGTGGATGGAAGCATCATAATACAGGCAAAAGTCATTAATCCGGACTCGTCGGGACTTCGGAGATTCCGGATTATAGATCATCAGTTTAAATCTGGTAAAATGGCATGCAGAAATTATAAAATTAAAAATATGAAATCTTAATTTACGAAATAAAGAACAATTATGATCTAAAGGGTATCAAAATTTAAAAAAAAAAAAAAAAAAAGCTTAATATTTATTTGTTTACTTTATTAAACATTTCTTTCAGTGTAAATTGTTTAAGTTTCTTTGTTTTTTATGTGATAATACATTCTCTTTAATTCTATAAACAGACATAATTTCTTGTTCAGTTACAAAGTTCCGCTGTTCAAGTCCTATAATTGCTGTGTCGAGAATACCAAATCGAAATTTTTTCGTTTTCAATAACCTCTGTTACTTTCTTCGCTATCGGAAGCGAATTATAATGACGAGGCATTTGATTTAAATCATATCAAAGACGGAGTACATCGAGATGAAATATTACATTTAGAAAGCAAGCCAAATAAAATAAAAACATCTGCCCTGAAGATAAGGATAGTGCTGACAGATCAACTTCCAATTCATTAAGCGCTGCGGCGTTAAAGATAAACAAAGTTTGGATAAACAAACGTTAAAGTTTAGATAAACAAAGGATATGCCTTTATCCATTTTTTGCAGCAATTCCACTTTTTGTTTAATGGACTCAAACATACTTTCGTATTGTAGATCCTTTACATATTAGTAAATATATATCGGAAATTCTGTTTGACATAATCGAAAGTTCAAGCTTACTTTTATAAAATTGCTCTAACAGTCTGCAAAAAATAATAAGCCTGATCCAATTTGAAGATTAAGAAACAATGCAATCTGCAACATTAACTGAAATAGATAGTTAGATAATTTTAGATTAGCTTATACCGTCCATTATACATTAAACACGCATTCGTAAATGTATTTTGTGCATACGCACACGCAAATTCGTAGCCGTAAAGGTCTTACGCGCATGCGTCACGTTGACGCATGCGCAGAAAGTTTGTAGTTTTGAGGTCTGGATTAATGGTGTCCGAATTAACTACTTTTGACTGTATATGGATATAAATTTGCATTTAAATTTTATTCTTTCTGCAATTGTGAAAACGAGTATAGTGAAAAACATTACAAATAATTGCTTCGGTTTTTGTCCTTGCACATGCAAATTTTTTGTCGTACAATGTTTTGATCATTTGCGATATACAATCAATTGATCTGAAACTTTGATTGGGGTTATAGTGTGGAAAGCAGATAGCCCTTCAGCTAATGCTAGCTGTTCTTTCGTTAACAATACATATTCCTTGACAAAACGTAACGTTGATCGAACACCACCGAGTAAATCTAACTCGTTGCATCGCCTAATATAGACATGCATTTTATGTATTTTTTATTTCTTTATATTTACTATAATAATTCATAAATAATAGGTAATATATCTTTACAGTACATTTAAAGTAAGAAATGCGGATTTTTTCTAAAAAGCGGGACTTTTTAAAAATCGGCGGGACACGGGACAGTCCTCCAAAAAAGCAGGACTGTCCCGCCAAAATTCGGGACGTGTGGTCACTTTATTTTTAAGCTTTATTGCTTGTTTATGATTTATGCTATTTTAACCCAGCCTATATGTTTTCAAATTTTGCATATAATTTTTTTTTTTTAAATATTGGATTGAAAATTTGCATATGGTTTTGTTTTCAAGTACAGTCAAAAGTCGTTAATCCGGACTCGTCGGGACTTCGACGATTCCGGATTATCGATTTTTCTGGATTATAGATCATCAGTTTAAATCTGGTAAGATGGCATGCAGAAATTACAAAATTAAAAATATGAACCCGTAATTTACGAAATAAAGAACAATTGTGATCTAAAGGGTATCAAAATTTACAAAAAGAAAAAGCTTAATATTTATTTGTTTACTTTATTAAATAT